TGTTCCAGTCGGCACGCCGCGTCGTGATGTCCGAGTGGCAGCACATCATCTACCACGAGTACCTGCCGCATGTGCTGGGCACCGCCGCTGCCGCCGGAGTCACGGCCCACACCGAGACCAAAGCAGAACACCCGGCTGACCCCACCGTCAGCGTGGAGTTTGCGCTTGCTGCGTTCCGCTTCTGGCAGTGGCCGCCCTCCGAGGAGGCTATTCAGGCTGCGCCAAGGGTAAGCAGCAGCGCCGCCTTCCTGGCGATGGTGCGCGGCCCGAGCGGCACGCCTCCCAACGTCACCGGCGCCGAGCTGGCCGCCGTGGAGGTGCTGCGCGGCAGAGAGATGGGCCTGCCCGCCTACGACACCGTCCGCCAGCTGTGCTCCGGCACATCGCTGACCAGCTGGGAGGAGCTGGGGTCAGTTTTTGGCCGGGCAGAGCTGGAGGCGCTGCGATCCATCTACGCCAGTCCCGAGGACGTCGACCTCTGGGTGGGCGGCATGCTGGAGCGGCGCGCTCAGTCTGCTCGGGTGGGCCCCACCTTCCAGTGCGTGATCGCCGACCAGTTCCGGCGGCACCGAGATGGCGACCGGCTCTTCTACGAGCGCAGCCTGAGTGACGGCCAGCTGCGGGAGGTGCGCAAGGCCAGCCTGGCGCGCCTGCTCTGTGACAACGAGGAGGGCCGCAGTCGCGCTGCGCCCCTGGCGCTCGAGCCGCTCACCGAGTGGAACAAACCGACCCTGTGCACATCGAGCACCATCCCGCAGCTGGATCTCAGTGTGTTCTGAGTCTGAACAGCTGTCAGTAGCTTCTCTCTTGTGAATGGCATTTATTAGAGCTCTGCATTCTTATAATGCGATAAGATAGCTAGCTCTTTGATGTAAGTAATTATGCGTTTTTGTGAAACTCTTAGCCATGGGCATACTCGTAAGCTGTTTTTGCATGTGGTTCCACGTTAGCACGCTGTTTTACGTGTGGATGCTTGTGTTTTATCTGTTGCCTGGGCATTAGAGGTTTAGTGCAGCGCAGCTTGGATAGCAATTAGCAATATGCAGTTGTGAAATAAAAATAAGCGTACCTTACAGCTCGACTGTCTTTTATTTGGAAACGAAGATCCTGTTGGATTCGCTCAATTTTCTTTGCCTCCGAAAAAAATGATGCCATAGCCCATAAATCACTTTGTCTATCTGCGTCTTTTGCTACATGAGATAAGGCCAATCCAATTGGAGAGAAGATCGTAATTGGTCGTGATATAGCGTAGTCATAGTTATAGCGAGTAAAAAACACATATACGTCAGGGTTGAATGGAGTAAAAGGGGTAAAAAGATCATCTACACTAAGCTCAAAATAACGTAGTTTTCGCCACCTTCACCTTTTTACGCCCAATTTAGGCGGAAGTGCACACATTTCAGTAAGAGTGCAGGTGATTTCGAAGGTTCGGCATAGTGCGTTCATGTATTGAATCGCGGCACGATATTCGTAATTGTGCACCCCACTCCGTCATAGTGCAGTTAAAAGTGACCCAGGTCTGACATCTTAGACTTAGTGCAAATAATTCGTCAGGTTAGCTCCATTTCGACATACGGCATGTGCATACGGCAATGTTCAAACAACTCAGGCACACTGGCGGTCGCAGGGGGGGGGGCCACGGGGGCCATGGCCCCCCCCCTTTGGTGCTGAAAGGTGGGGCCATACTATCTTTTGGCCCCACCTTTCAGATCGAACAAAAGTCCTAGAAAAACTTTTCGTATGTTTCATTTTCTTTCTTGCGCCATCAAAGGACGTAAATTTCACTCATGAGTGGGCTCAGTTTCGCATTCTGTCAATTTGGCGGTCAGCGTCGCTGGCACCGGTTCACGAGTATGGCCGGATCTTATATGGAATATCAGCGTGGGTTTACTTGAGGCTCTCGTAGGCCCAGCATTCAGCAATGGCTGGCATGAGACCCTCTTCGGCAGTGGTGGGTGGGCCCTGCTAAAGGAGATTGGCTCCAAGACACTAAAGTAAGACCTCATGGGTTGGTGCTGTGCACCTCAGAAGCCCGGTGGTGACGCCGTATGCCGGCTTGGTTTCTTAAGGATTAGCGTGGGACCTCCGGGGCCTGCATAGAGTTTGCATGAGCTAGTATGTAATCTCAGAGGCATGTGTGTAATGTGTACACAGTGGCGGTCGCGGGGGCCGGGGGGGCATCAGGGCCATGCCCCCAAAGGTCAATAAAGGGGGCCATCATATCATTTGCCCCCCCCCTCAAACAACCAATGGGCCCCCATATAGGTGTATGGGGCCCTGGCAATTATTCGATCGTCACGAGGCTAAAAAAACCCACGCCCAGCTATTAATATAGCTCCCACACCGGTCTTTTAACGTCCTACACTGACCTCTGAGGGAACTTCAGTGGCGGTCAAGCGCCCACGTTGACCGCTAAGAGCCTACATCAACCTCTGAGGCCCCACATCTGGCCTATGAGGGCCCCTTACCGGCCTCAGGGGTCCCAACCGGCGTCTGAGGGTCTCACACCGGTCTCTGGTGGCCTTATTTCTGTCTCTGGTGTCCCAAGACGAATCTTTAGGTGCCAATAAGGGCCCCGCACTGGCTGCTGAAGACCCGATGCCGGTCTCTAAGGGTCTGCATTGGCCTCTGAGGAGGGCCCATCTTGGCCTTTGAGGGCCCTCTGCTGGCCTCTAGGGTCCAACGACGGCTCATGCCGGTCTTTTAGGGCCCCACGCTGACCTCTGAGGGCCCATGCTGGCCTGTAATGAGTAAGGACCCACATTAGCCTCTGAGAGCCCAACTCGGTCTCTGATGGTCTCAAACTACTGGCCTTTGTAGTTTGCAGGCCCTGTACTGGTCTCTGAGGGCCCTAAACTAGCCTCTACATGAAAACATACATGGGTGGGTTTCTGAAGATCAGAGGGCTCACGCAGTCTCCGGCACAGCCTTACGTTGGTCCTGATCGAGATTGCTTTACGTCCTGATGGTCCCGCGCTGATTCCCTCATATTTCGAGGTCGGGACCCCATGAGCCGGTGTGGGTCCTGGGGCTGGCAGAGACTGATGAAGTCCTTAGGGCTCAGGGCCAGTCTTTTTAGCAGTAGGACTAGGCAGGTTGAGTGAGCCCCAACAGAGCCGTTGCGAAGCCCCGCAGGAGTCGCGCGCGGCCCTCAGATGCCAATTCTGAAAGCTCGGAACCTGTGGGGGTCTCCAGAGGCCGGTGTACCTACTCTCTCCCGCCGCCACACAACTAGGTACCTATATGGGTAAATGTCATAGTCTAAAAATGCTCTCTGGGTTTCACATGCTTGTTCAAAGCAAGAGGTATCTGTACTTTTTAGCAAGATGTATCTGTACTTTTCCGAATTGTTTTATAGTGGTAAGGTCATGAATCCGCGTGCCTGACCTTCCAGTATACCTATGCTACACCGATCCGTCGTCATGGACGGTGCAGCGGCCCGACCGGTGGACACACCGTGAGACGGTAAATGGAACTGGTGATTTTGCCTTAAATTGAGCTCAAAGATTTCACGCAAGAATGAGATGGATGAAGCATAAGTAATGCCAACTGTGCGGCGCCTCGTGAACGTAAAAAAATTTGCCGATCACCCCCCCCCCCCTCCCGGTGACGGATAAATGTTATGTCCCGCGAGTGTGACTTTGGCCCCCCCTTTTGCTAGCGGCTGCGACCGCCAGTGCTCAGGCACGGTATAAATATGCGATTATGTAAACAAATCTCACCTTCTTCCGCAACTTAAGCGTTTAGCAAGGCTCTGGAGCTAATGATGAATGTGGAATGTCACGTGAACGTGAAATGCGCTACACTTTTTTACGGCCAAATATAGAAATAGTGCACACAGTTCAGTAATAGTGCAACCGATTTCGACAGTTCGGCATAGTGCACTGCTAGTTCGGCCAAGTGCATGATATTCGGTAATCCCTGATATCCTGATTCATGGAAAATACACCTTGTTGCATCCCATTTCAAGTTCGGTGATCCTCATAACCCTCCAGTTACCGTCCTTGGCGTCCGATGTCCAAAATTCCTGTCATAGCCAGGATGATCGAACGTGTGGTGCAGCGACGGCTGTATTGCCTATCGCCTACATGTACGACAATCATCTCTCCTCATCCCATCACTGCTTCCGCCCCCACCATCGTACCAAGACCACTCTGCTCTCTGTAAACTCTCTGTTAACTGTTACGAACAGCATCTTTTCTAACGACCGTATCCACCTACCTGTGCCGTGAGAACTTAGCAAATGTTTCGACGCTATTCATACTTAGCCCCTTAAAAAGTCCAGCAATATAACATTGTTATAGCCAGACATGTGCATGGATCCGAGTGATGGATCTATGATCTCAGTGGATCTCGAAACAAAGCACAGGTTGGGATCTATGATCCCACCGGATCCGGCGTGAAAAATACATCTTGGATCTATGATCTCATATGACCTGACGATAAATTAAGAACATGGATCTATGATGTGAGTGGATCCCACCATGCACCACATTTGAAACCATGTTTTAAAGGGTTTCTATACCAATAAGTGACACAAAACTATGGATTATGACGTGCGATCACATAAAATCACTAAAACAGAACGTTTGTGAGTTGAAACAAGTGTTTTTTGGGGGTATATGTGTTAACAAAAATAAGTGAGGATCTATGATCTCACTGGATCTCAAGCAAAAAATGAGACTCGGATCTGTGATCCCTATGGATCTCTCGATAAATTACAGAGCTGGATCTATGATCCCGACGGATCCGAGATCAGGATCCGTGGGATCAGATCCCAGAACCATTTTCTCGGATACATGCACATGTCTGGTTATAGCCTGGTTTTCTTCGTATTATTTATGGTCACGTCACTCCCAGACAGTTCCCACCTCCTCTTCAACCGGCGCCTGCAAGCGGTATCAAATCCTTTTATTTTATTAATATTTGTCAGACATCACGAAATGTGAGCGACTCCACCAGAATACTCCTTTCCAAATTAAAACAGCGCAGCAGTAAGGAAGGTATGCCTTTCTTTTTATTTTACAACTCCATATACTGCTATCCAAGCTGCACAGCACCAAACCAAGCCCCAGGCAACAGAAAAACAACGACACAAACATCCGCACGTAAAACAGCGTGCTAACATGAAAGCATATGCAAAAATAACTACATAACTCATGCCCAAGTCCAAGAGTCTAAAAAATACCACATGAATTATTTACATCAAAGAGCTATCTTATCGCATTATAAGAATGCAGAGCTCTAATAAATGCCATTCACAAGAGAGAAGCTACTGACAGCTGTTCAGACTCAGAACACACTGAGATCCAGCTGCGGGATGGTGCTCGATGTGCACAGGGTCGGTTTGTTCCACTCGGTGAGCGGCTCGAGCGCCAGGGGCGCAGCGCGACTGCGGCCCTCCTCGTTGTCACAGAGCAGGCGCGCCAGGCTGGCCTTGCGCACCTCCCGCAGCTGGCCGTCGCTCAGGCTGCGCTCGTAGAAGAGCCGGTCGCCATCTCGGTGCCGCCGGAACTGGTCGGCGATCACGCACTGGAAGGTGGGGCCCACCCGAGCAGACTGAGCGCGCCGCTCCAGCATGCCGCCCACCCAGAGGTCGACGTCCTCGGGACTGGCGTAGATGGATCGCAGCGCCTCCAGCTCTGCCCGGCCAAAAACTGACCCCAGCTCCTCCCAGTTGGTCAGCGATGTGCCGGAGCACAGCTGGCGGACGGTGTCGTAGGCGGGCAGGCCCATCTCTCTGCCGCGCAGCACCTCCACGGCGGCCAGCTCGGCGCCGGTGACGTTGGGAGGCGCGCCGATCGGGCCGCGCACCATCGCCAGGAAGGCGGCGCTGCTGCTCACCCTTGGCGCAGCCTGAATAGCCTCCTCGGAGGGCGGCCACTGCCAGAAGCGGAACGCAGCAAGCGCAAACTCCACGCTGACGGTGGGGTCAGCCGGGTGTTCTGCTTTGGTCTCGGTGTGGGCCGTGACTCCGGCGGCAGCGGCGGCGCCCAGTACGTGCGGCAGGTACTCGTGGTAGATGATGTGCTGCCACTCGGACATCACGACGCGGCGTGCCGACTGGAACACGCGCTCGTCCTCCCAGGAGGGGTTGTTCCGTCGCAGCGCGTCCGCCACACGGTTGTGCTCGCGCAGCAGGATCTGGTTGAGCCGGTCCGGGGAGGGCACGGAGGGACGGTCTGCAGAGGACTCGCTCCGCTCGCTCGGACCCCAGGGCCGTGGCTGATGCTGGCCATATCCCGAGTTGGGGTACTGACCGACAGCCTGCAGGATTCGCACCTGTCCCGGCTCACCGCGTGGACCGGGCCGACCATCATTTCCCGTGGGACCTTTATTGCCCCGGTCACCTTTTTTTCCTTTTGGCCCCCTGGGACCCTCGAAACCCGTATCGCCTTTGTCACCGCGATGTCCTTTTTCCCCAGAATCGCCCTTAATGCCTTTTTCTCCAGCAACTCCCTTGATGCCTTTCGCCCCTATCGTACCCTTAGAGCCCTTAGCTCCCTTCATGCCCTTATCTCCCTTCATTCCTTTCATGCCATCAGCACCTTTTGAGCCTTTTTCGCCCTTTTCACCCTTTTCGCCCTTTGAACCAAAGTCACCTTTTGCGCCTTTTGCGCCTTTTCGACCTTTGATACCCTTACATCCCTTTCCACCTTGTCTACCTTTTTTACCTTCTGCTCCCTTAATTCCCTTTGATCCATCATCTCCCTTCATGCCTTTTTGACCCTTTTCACCCTTGTCACCGCTTGTACCAAAGTCACCCTTTGCACCCTTTTGACCTTTCTTGCCCTTTTCACCTTTTTCTCCCATGGAACTCGTGTCTCCTTTAGATCCTTTCTGTCCCTTGCCACCCTTGTCACCTTTGTTGCCCTTGCTGCCCTTATTACCATCGTTCCCGTCATCACCTTTGTTTCCTTTCAGACCCTTGCAGCCCTTAAGACCTCGATGACCTTTTCTGCCCTTACGTCCCCGACGGCCCTTTTGTCCCTTTTCACCTTTTTCCGGGCCGTCCCTTACCGATATCTGTCTCCTTACTCGTGGTTTGCTTTCACCGTTTCTTGTGTCAGCGCCGAACTGAGGCGCAGAGCTCCTGCGGAAGCGGCGCAGTAGTGAGCCCTCGGATGCCTCCACTGAGCTCGTGGCTGGTTCAGCCGGCTCGGGCAGGTGATAGTCGAAGCCCAGCATCTGATCGGTCACGTCTACCAAAAGACCACGGTCAGCGCGCAGCCGGCCCCCGCGGAACGTCCTCAGTCGCCTGCCGGCCTCCTCGGAGCTGCCGTACAACGTCTCCAGGTCCAGGTAGGAGGAGGCGGCAGACAGCGGCGCCGCCGGACGCATCACGCAGTCCAGTGCGGACGCCGGTAGCGCGCGTACGAAGCTGACGCAGCGGTCGTCCACGTGCAGCGGCAGACAGGCCGGGTGGCGCTCTGAGCAGCAATTGGGCTCGCGGCCGCTGGCCAGTCGGAACGGAGCGATGCGCGCCAGGTCCAAACTGAGGTACTCGGAGACGGTGGAGGCCCAGTCGCCGAGCGGCTCTGAGTGCAGCTGGGCCGCCACCAGCGACCCGACCGCATCGGCGGCCGGCAGCGGCGAGCCCTCGGCGCCCAGCGAGCGGGGCGAGAAGTACAGACCGTCTTCGAAGGTGGCATTGGCCAGCCGACCGAGCCCGGTGAGCGCTCGACCCAGAAACGGGTGCTGGTGGAGAGACCAACGACAACTGTCAGTGTGTTTGGAGAAAGACGTGACGTGATTTTTGGGGGACAAGTAAAAGAACCTGCTTTAAAATATGTCTTGCCCTTAGAGTAGACATTTTATTCTTTCAAGTGACCTAAAAATGACTTTTAATAAAGTGAGTTAGAATATGCGTCGCGTCGCGTCGTGATGAAACTCAAGCGTCAGCGACTGAAACTCAAGCGAAACCCAAGCGATTGAAACTCAATCAGCGCTGACGCCATCTCACCTCCAGATTGTTGCACTGGCCGCCGATGGTCCGTATAGCAGCGGCGGATCGGTCGCAGAATATTTTAGTGGCGGGCACACAGCCGGGGATCCGGCGACGGGCGTGTTCACCAGCGTCCAGCCAGGTTGAGACGGTCTCTGGCACCCTGCCAGCAGAAAAGGGTGCCAGATGTCAAACATCCCATGTATAGGAGAAAGGGCTAGCACATAGGCTCTGTCAGAGACACGAATTCGCTGTCACCGCTTACATTATTGAACCTGCTCAGATAGCATAATCTTATGTTTTTAGTTGTCAAAAGCAAGCAGTTAGACATATGACACAACCATTTTCGTGACCAAATGTCTGGGTTATCTGTTACGCACCACTCCGGCTACGCCAGCGGCTCCTGCGGCTGGCACTCACGTCTCTGTCTGGTTGCTGACGGCCTGCACGGTGAAGAGCCGCTGCAGGCCGATCCTTCCCACCTCCTGGGCCACGCTCCAGTCGCCAGCGGCGGCCGTGTCCAGGCCGGTCAGGTCGACACCGTCGGGCACAGGCCGCTGCAGCAGGGGCGTCAGCTGGGCCTCCAGCTCGGCCAGCCGGGCGGCCGCCGCCGAGGCGTCCTGCACCGCCCGCTCGCCCGAGAAGGAGGCCGTGTCCGCCGACAGCACCTGCTGCTGGCCGGCCAGGCGGCGCGCCGGCTCGGCGGGCCCGGCCCCCGGCGGACAGACGACGCCATCGGAGCCGTCATTCAGCGAGCATGGTGACGCGTCCGTCCACTGTGCCGACGGACAGAGGATCGGAGCGCTGCACGCCGACGGCCTGGGCAGAGCATACCACGTATTAGAGATGGGTCCGTTGGCGAGAGATAAAATTGTGGTGTAAATTACACAAGTAAACACCTAGTTATTTCCAACGTCACCGGTTAATTACCGGTATGGCGGTGTAGATTATACAATATGAGGCGATGAGGCAGCTAGGTCCGGCCTCGTCCGTCCGTTACCCATATATCCCGTTCTGAGTCAGTTCTAAAAAAAAATTGATATCAATGTCGGCAAAGTCACTTGATTGATCACACAACACCTCCTAGTCTTTTCTCACCCGCCACGCTGCTGGGCGGCACTGGCGCAACAAACGCCCTCAGTTCCGTTGACGGTGGTGCAGGCGGTGAAACTCTCCGGTGTCGGGTCAGCGAGGCACTGATCGCGGGGAACACAGTCGCAGCCGCCCTCCTGTGCCTGGTGCCGCACCCAGAAGGATGCCAGCACCAGCTGAAAACGAAACAAACGAGTTTTATTTATGTGTGGAGATTGAAACATCCAAAGACGTAACATCCAACTGTGTCATGCGGCGATGTATATCTGCACATTGCACGCACGGCTAAGCGATATAAGATAGCGTTTGAATATTGCGCGTAAAATGTGTTTTCCTATCTTGGAGCCTTGAAATTCTTAGCTACGCTTATGTATGTAGCATTGCTAAGCATGTCCATCTTGAGACTGATGTAAATTGTAGGTAATCAGTGGACGACGACGCATGACAATTTTGGTAAGAACACAAGTTTTCAGTTCGAAAGAAGGTTGTGTGTATAACGATAAAAGGATTATTCGTGCGACGATCTTATTTTCAACCTCATTTATCAACCATCAATTGTCTCTTATTTGGAAAATGTAGGCGGTTATTACGGAGTGAGCGAAGCGAGCGTAGTCTTACTTTATGATAAACGGAAATTTCTGAGTATGAGCGGCCGGCCGGCCGTGCGGACGCTTTTGCGCCCGAGGCTTGAAACTCAGCAACCAATTGACCGATTTACATGCGGTAATTTTTGTAGGGAAGCTTCTTTCCTTCTACCAAGTATTGGACTATTCCCGTTGCATGTGGGCGACCCCTTATGCACGTGCCAGTGCCACGTGCAAAACGAAGAGATGTCAGTTTTGTAATGGTTGCAATATCTCGGTAACTACTTGGCCGATTGTGCTTAAAGTTGGCATGTAGGTAGGCACCCACCAGGCAATGCATATCCATGTGCCAGAGTTGGGGTGCTGCTGCACGTGCGCACGTGCAGGGGTCGTTTCCAGATCTCGAGAACGGCTAGACCGATGGCGCTCAAATTTGGTACACGGTTAGGGACCAGTTAGCAGGTGCCGTGCACAAGTCAGTTGGGACCCATTTTGCACGTGCGAACGTGGAGGATGCCGCTTCCAGACCTCGAGAACGGCTGGGCCGATTGCGTTCAAATTTGACACATCGCTAGAGACCGGTTAGTAGGGTGCCGTGCACAAGTCAGTTGGCGCCTGGCGGTACCCCCCCCCCCCTTGCAATGTCGCACGTGCAAGGCCCACCCTCTCGCTCGCTCCATTGGTCGCCCCAAAAGGCGTTATACTGGTTGAATATGCCTGAAAACAAAAGAGTTGAAGCTAACACAACACAACCATATAACATTCTTTTATTCGGTGCGCTACTGCCGAATATCGAGTTTCTTTTCGAGGACATCGAGTCCGTCTTTTTTCGCGAAGCTCTAGCTCAATCAGGGACTGAACGACTGGAGGGGGGGGGGGGGGTCCAACGGACTACCTCCTCTTTACGTTAGACGCTGTTTAAAAAGGCCAATACGGGCGAGGGCTTAGGCTGTTTTGTCTTTATTAGAACCTGCTTTCACCACCTGATCTCCGAAAATGATGAACCAATTTTTATGAGTGAAAGTCATAAAAAGCACGACGTCCTTTTCCAAACTGTACATATTCATACAGTTAATAATTCATAATTCATACCGCCCACTCACACGAGGTCGGCTCAACACAGACAATGTCCGAGGCAATGGGTGGACCGCCAACACCGCGAGAGGGGCGGACTGACAGTTGACACCAGAAAAAGGAAAAGCCCGTTTAGTTCTATGCTATGTGACAAATGCACGGAGCTCGAAGCGAGTCGTTTTTCATTACGGAAAATGCTTTATTTTCCATAAAGGCAAGCTCAACAACATTATCAATGCTAGCACGAGCAAAGGAATAGGTATATAATGATCACTTGACCATGCCCTTTGAAATGTTTGGCGATGGTATATTGTCCGAAAACAGTGTAGCTAATAATCAAAGCAGAAAAGGTAATTTCATGTATGATTATTAGTCAGGATTAACAATTATTATTTTCCATCATATTGGGACATCCTGTTGAAAAAACCATCATCAATATAAGTCCAATAGTTAGAAACATTTGATATGACAAAGTATGGGAGGGTTTCGTCATTGATATAATACGACAAACGTGTTCAATATATACAATAGAATCCGCTTCATAAATCCATCTTGGTGACACGGAGTTTTAGATTTATTAAGCGGTGACCTTATTAACCGCAGTCAGTTTTGCTTCATAGATAAAATCCGCTCAAGTGGCCACAATAACCGGCTGTATTTATTATCCGAGGAGGGGTTCCAGGGTAAAAGCTTAACTACATAATGTCTATAAGTGTTATAATCTTATTTTGTTTTTCTAAATTGTAATTCAGTTAAGTAAATGTCAACAAATAAATACATTCTCACCGTAAAAATGGCCACCTTCATCGGAGGCCAGTCGCCAGCGCGGAGTCGTATCTCTATCGGGGGAGCTGCACGCGCACACGCCCCCCGGCGCGCCCTCTAAGCTTGGCGCGCCGCCAGCTCGTCGGTTATATAGCATCGTATATTGTCAGGCAACCTGTCTGGGCGGACCGGGCGCACAGCGCGGTGGGACACGGCAGGACCCGCCTCACATCCGATCGTACCAACCAGGTACCAACCATGTGTTCATCAGGTCACCTTTGCAAAATCAAAGAACTTCAGAAGAAGCGAGTTTACATATAAGACATGTTCTTGGCTTGGCTCGAGTCCAAGCTTTTTTGCTCGGCACTTTCTCATGCATGACAATTAACCGCGCCCCATTGGGGTCTGCGCATTACGCGCCCTACTGGGGGCTCTTCATAGCCCCCTCCTAACTCCGAAACTACTGGGCCGATCGTCAAAATTCAATTGGCGTCTGATAGCCCCGGAAAAAACTGTCGAACAAAACCTAATTTCATTCACGTCGAGGTCACCGATGACGTTACAGGTCAGGTCAAAGTAAAAATTATCGATGTTTGGCTTGTTCACATTTTGGGCTCTGGCCACCAGCTTACAAGTCAAATCAGGCTCATTTTCGGTTTACACACTTATAAACACATGTCTAATGGCCGCCCCACACTGGACCTCGCATGCAGGTTGCGAGTCTGCGAGTTTTTATTTGCGGGTATAATACTCATTCACGGCATGATTAATTAAACCATTCTCTTAAGGTCACTACATGAATGCAGTGAAGCCGGTACACCCTCAGTAAATTGCATATTATCGCAATAACAGCACAACGACCCAAAATTCGGCTTCAACAAAACCCACCAAAACTCGCAATCCTCGGCCCTCGCAGTGAGGAAAATCTAAACTTGACTCAAAATCAACTTTTGGAATGCGATGCAGGTTGCTAGCATGCTAAAATAATGCACACTTGCTTGTTTCATGGTGGTGTGGGTCAATCAACATAGAGTGTATGTATGTAGGTACGTACCTATTCTTTTGGAAGAAACCCGAAAACCCAAAAACTCGCAACCCGTATGCGAGGTCCAATGTGGGGCGGCATTAACCCGCGCATGACTGGGGGCTCTACAGAGCCCCCCTCCCGTTTTTCGGCAATATCTTCTAAACCGTTTCACGGATCAACACGAAACTTGTAGTGTAGTACTCTCAGCTGCATCAATTTGACACCTTGTGTTAAAATTCAACTTTCTAGCTACCATAGTTTGGCCGGAAAGGACGTCAGAGTGACGTCATGTCGGCCGATTTTGATGCGAATTATTGAATTACGACAAACGCTCTCAAGAGCTTAGTTTTAAAGCTAGATCCATTTTTTGTATCCGTGGACTACTAATACATACGTAGCTATCAAACTGCTATCACGAATTTTCAAAATTTTGAAAACTTTGAAAAATATATTTTCACAAAAACAAATTTTTTTCAGAAAGTTTTTGACTTTTTGCAAAAACTGGAATGTATGTAATAGAACCCACACTGATCAACTACTCTAGCAAGTTTTAGCCCAATATCTTCAAAAATAGCCAAGTTATTTGCATTATTGTCAAAATTTTACAATTATATATTTTTGAAAACCATTTTTCATTATGTTTTTCATAGAGCAATATAAATGGCACCATCGTGTTCCTGAGCGCAAATTGCATCTGATGGGCACCTTTTTTGTTGAAAAATTTCATTTTCAAAATTTGACCTTTTCTGACCTGAAATTGACCTGACCTCCGGTAACTTCAGCTCAAAATGACCTCAAATGACACAGACGACTTTATTTTCGAAATCTACGTGTAAAATGGACCATGAAACATGCGTCACGTGACCGATACATGATATACAATTTTCGTGACCTAAGATGACCTGGCCTTGACCTGAAAAATTCGAAGTAAGAGTTCGGTACCCTCAGGTTATCTAAGGCATATATCAAGGAGTGCGTAAAGCATAAATGAGCCTGATCGGACTAGTCAACCGGCGGCCAGAGCCTAAATTGTAAACAAGCAAAAATGACGATAATGTTTACTTTGACCTGATCTGTGACGTCATCGGTGACCTCGAGTTCAATTAAAGTAGGTTTCGCTTGACAGTTTTTCCAGGGCTATCAGACGCCGTTTGAATTTTGACGATCGGCCCAGTAGTTTCGGAGATAGGAGGGGGGGGGGGCTCTGGAGAGACCCCCTCAGTCACTCGCGTTATGGAAAATAGCCCAGTCATGCGCGGTTTAAAGGAAAAGGGCCACCTTTAACGTGGGGATTGAAACTGAGATAGCCATCTTGTAGCCCGTGTCCGAAAACCCTCCAGTCCAGTCTATCTCCTTACGGCCGATTTCGGCTTCCATTCGTAGGTATCGGCAATTTTAAAAGAGGAATGCGTCCTTATCCCAGGAATGCGTCCTTACCCTGTAATACAGCCACCCGCGGCGAGGCTTTGGTTTTTACCAATCAGCTCCAATCAGCTCAGCTTTAACCAATCAGCTTATCTGACACAATCCGACGAGTCTGTCTTCTGGACGCTGATTGGCTTGAGTGTGACGTCATCGCTATGCCATCATACAGTAGGTGCCGTAGAGAGTATCAACATAGTACCAATATGTTAAATAGTTTTAAATACTTTTTCGCGAATTGTGCACTTCTGGCACCAGTTTTAAAAAGAAAATGAAAAATAATAAGGTCAAAATGAAAAACAACGATATCTTCATATTTCACGAAGGTTTTCCTTTAAGAGAGTGTAACAAACTTGTACTTCGAATTTTTAAGGTCAAGGCCAGGTCATCCTAGGTCACGGAAATGTTATATTAATTGGTCACGTGACACATGTTTTATGGTCCATTTAAACTATAGATTTAATTTTAAACCATAGACCTGTGACATGTCTCCCAAGACCTTGTCAGACCGTAATCGTGATTCGGATTTCGGAGTAAGTCAGCGCACATTATCCGTGCGTTTACAAATTACAATCTCTTTTTGGTTGGTAACGTTCCAACATGTAGATAAAATGGTGTTTCCCATGCATTATTGTGAGTGTCGACATCACGTCATGTTCCGGTCAAGGTCTGGCTTAACCCGCGCATCGCTGGGGGGGGGGGGGGGCAGAATCTGCCCCGCCTCCCATTTTTCGGCAATAACTTTTAAACGCGTTGCGCCAGCAACGTCAAACTTTCAGTACCTTATCTGACATCAATTTGACACGTTCCCTGAAAATTTGACCGAAATTCTTCGGAATTTCTTTGAGAAAATGATGTTTAAATGACGTAATGTCAGGCCATTTTCGCCTCAAAAACTGCAAAACTTCAAACACTGCTAACATCTTCATTTTTAAAGGAACCAAGACGTAACAAAAAAGGATACTGTGATTCTAATTTGTCTATCAAAAGGCTATCTTGGTTTTTTTCGAAAAATTGGATTTTGGCCAATTTTTTTCTTTAAAAAAACTGACTTTTTTGGGAAAATAATTATAAAATTCAATTTTGGTGTATAAAAAAAACGGAATATATGCTAGAGAAGTGGTCTATGTGCACCTACATATCAATTTTAGAAGAATCGGTTCAAAAATGTGTTAGTTATTCAAAATTGTATGACGTCATCACGCACATTTTTTTGAAAAATGATTTTTTTGGAAGTTCTAGACCTCGTACGGAAACAAAAATAGCTTTATTCGATTTGCCGTGAAAAACTGCATCAGATAGACACCTTTTTAGGTCTTAACAACCAACTTCAAAATTTGACCTCACTTGACCTCACTTGACCTGACCTCGACCTGAAAATCACCCAGATGTGGTTCATATCACTTATTGAGTGTGCCTATTGAATTCTATGAATAAAATGACCCATAAGACATGTGTCGCACATGCCCTTTTCTATATTTCGTATTTGGTGACCTGACCTGACCTTGACCTTGACTTGTGCATGATATTGTATGCAACGAATATTGTCTTGGTAGCCTAAGAACACGTTTTGGGCAATCAGTCTCAGTTCCTTTTAGGCAACTACGATGCAAGGCCGATACTGTAGAAACTTGCATCTTGTACCCTTGACCTGGCCTTGACCTGACCTCTGACCTACTTAAGCAAAAAAAATTGGCTCTTAAGATCCGCCTTGATGAGAGCTTTCGATTGCCTTTTTCCCCGTCTTTCTACGACCATCGATTCGGAAGTTAGATGGGGGCAGAATCTGTCCCCCCCCCCCCCCCCGCGGGGCGCGTAATGGCTGAATAGCCCAGCGCGGCGCGGGTTAAGATGACCTTGGCCCACTTTTACGAGTTCTACGTGTTTGTGTAGTTTTTTTATAGCCGATTCGAATTTAGCACTTCGGCTGTCTATTACTGGTGCCAATCGGAACTAGGACCTTCGGAATTCCAATTTTATATTATGTCCAATTCGAAAATCGTTTGGACAAAGACAGCAAATCTTGAACAAAAATAGACAATCACTTGCTACACCTCAGCAATTTATAAAGTATTCGTATTGTGAATTTTTGGGGGTCAAAAACCCAAAATTTTGAAAATCCGAGATAACAGTTTTGTAGCGCCGCTTTTTGTCTACGACCATATAAGAACTTTGTAATTGCTTGGTAACTGTAGATTTGGTGAGCGTTTCAAGATTGCATGTTTTTGCTCATTTTTGCTCGAACATGACCTCAGTTTGGCCTCATAACTCCTGACCTAAGGTGACCTAAGACTTGAAATTTGGTGTGAAGGTGTCAAATTGATGCCCGGGAAGGTACTGAAAATTTAGCGGCGCTGCGCGCCGCCGTTTTCTTTCTATTCAGGAAAAACCACAGGGGGCCAGATTGGCCCCCAAACGGGGCGAGGGTTAATTATGTAACACAAAATTTTCCATAAGATTTTTTTGAAGTTCTAGAAC